GAAGGATATTAATGAGAGGCCAATGCACAGACTCACCTGCCCTCAGACATAGCGGTTTAAAGCACAGACTATAAATGAAGGAAATGCATTTACTAACACTAGAGCCTCCAACAAAAAGGTAGAGAACCAATGGAACTCTCACTGGGGTAAGAGGAACCAGCAACCGCCATTTTTACATTCTGCATCTACCTTCATAGTGTAATCAGGAGCTGGATCCAGGTACTTTACCAACCTAGTAGGGCAACCCTAACACACTCCAGACCCCTGGCCCACTCCAGCTCCAGCTATCCCTCAAAGGCAGCCCCCACGCAGTATGCCCCCAGTTCCCAACCACATCAGCCCTAGCTCCAGCCATCCTGCCAGGGCAGCCCTGACACAGCACCCTCCAGGACCCAACTGGCCTGTGCCCACAGCACAGCACATCCTGGGACATACCAAGCTTATGCCCACTTCTGCTCCAGTAATTCCACAGAGGTGGCCACAGCACAACATGCCCCAGGACCTCCAAGCCATGCCCACTCCAGCTCCAGCCAGCCTGCCAAAGCTACCAGGCATACAGTCTACACAGCAGGCAGTCCTACATAAGGCCACTCCTTCAATACCAGGAAACCTAGCTCTTAAAAACTTAGCTCTTCATAGAAACACACACAGAAAGTCAAATAAAATGAGGAGACAGAGAAATACGTTCCAAACAAAACAAGATAAAACCCCAGAAAAAAAGGAAAACCTAAAGGAGGTAAGTAATTTACCTGATAAAAAGTTCAAAGTAATGATCATAAAGATGCTCATCAAACACAGAAGATGAATGGAAGAACACAGTGATAACTTCAACATAGAGAAAGAAAACAGAAAAAAAGAACCAATTAGAGCTGAGGAATACAATAACTGAAATGAAAAATGCATTAGAAAGAACCAAAAGCAGATTACACGATAGATAGGAATGAATCTGCAATCTGGAAGAAAAAACAGTGAAAACAGCAAAAAAAAATTTTTAATGAGGACAGTTTTAAGGGACCTCTGGAACAACAAGCATACTAACATTCATATTATATGGGTCTCAGAAGGAAAAGAGAGAGGAAAAGGGCCAGAAAATTTGAAGAAATAATGGCTGAAAACTTCCCTAACTTGGGAAAGGAAACACATATCAGATGCAAAAAGCATAAAGTCCCTAATAAAATAAAACCAAAGAAATCCACCAAGACATATTATAAATAAAACTGCAAGTTAAAGATAATGAGAAAATGTTGAAGGCAGCAATAAAAAAAACAAACAAACAAATTGGGGCGCCTGGGTGGCTCAGTCGTTAAGCATCTGCCTTTGGCTCAGGTCATGATCCCAGGGTCCTGGGATCGAGCTCCACATTGGACTCCCTGCTCCGTGGGAAGCCTGCTTCTCCCTCTTCCACTCTCCCTACTTGTGTTCCCTCTCTTGCTGTCTTGCTCTCTGTCAAATAAATAAAATATTTTAAAAAATACTCATAAACGAAGAAAATCCCATAAGATGATCAACTCATTTTTTCAGCAAAAACTTTGCAAGCCAGGAGTGCCAGGATGTATTTAAATTCCTGAAAAGGAAAAACTTACAACCAAAAATATTCTATTCAGCAAGGATGACATTCAGAATTGAAAAAGAGATAAAGGGTTTCCCAGACAAGCAAAACCTGAAGGAATTCACCCCAACTAAACCAGCCTTACAAGAAATGTTAAAAGATCTTTAAGCAGAAAAGAAAATGCCATGACTAAAAACAAGAAAATATATGAAAGAAAAAATCTCACTCATAAAAGCAAAAGTATAGTAAAGGCAATGCATGAACCAATGAAAAAGCTAGTATGAGGTTAAAGACAAAAAAGTAAACTCAACTATAACTACAATAAGTAGTTAAGGGATATACAAAATAAAAAGATGTAAAATATGATGTCAAAAACAGAAAATGTTAAGAGGCAGTAAAAAAGCAGTGCTTTTAGAATGCATTCAAACTGAAACAACTATCAGCTTAAAACAGACTGCTATATATGTAGGTCAATATATATATATATACACTTCATTGGAACCACAGACCAAGAAGCTACAACAGACAAAAAATAAAGACAGAAGGGGCGCCTGGGTGGCTCAGTTGGTTAAGCGACTGCCTTCGGCTCAGGTCATGATCCTGGAGTCCCAGGATGGAGTCCCACATCGAGCTCCCTGTCAGCAGGGAGTCTGCTTCTCCCTCTGACCCTCCCCCCATGATGTGCTCGCTCTCTCTCTCTCAATAAATAAAATCTTTAAAAAAGAATAAAAATAAAGACAAAAGAACCCAAACATAACGTTAAAGAAAACCATCAAATCACAAGGGAAGAGACCATAGGAAGGAGAAATAAACAGAAAAGTACAAAAATAACCAGAAAACAATTAAAGTGTAAATAAGCACATGCCTATCAGTAATTACTTTAAATATAAATGGACTAAAATGCTCCAATTAAAAGACATAGGGAAATTAAATGGCTGAAAAAAACAAGACCCATCTATATGCTGCCTGCAAGAAATCACTTCACATCTAAAGACAAACACAGACTAAAAATAAAGGGATGGAAAAAGGTATTCCATGCAAATAAAAACAAAATGAAGACTGGAGTACCAATACTCATATCAGACAAAACAGACTTTACAACAAAGACTGCAACAAAAGATAAAGAAAAGAATTACATAATGATAAAGAGGTCAACCCAAGAAGATAAAATAACAATTATAAATATTTATTCATCCAATATAGTAGCACCTAAATACATAAACCAAATATTAACAGACTTAAAGGAAGAAATTGACATTAATTACAATAATGATAGAGGACTTCAATACCCCACTTACATCAATGCATAGATCACCCAGAAAGAAAATTGATAAGGAAACATTGCCCTTAACACATTAAACCAGATGGACTTAATACATATATACAGCACATTTCACCCAAAAACTGCAGAATGCATTTTTTTTTAATGGCACATGGAACATTCTTCAGGGCAGATCATATATTAGGCCACAAAACAAGTTTCAGTAAACTTAAAAAGACTTAAATCATATCGAGCATCTTTTCCAACAACAATATGAAACTAGATATCATTTAAAAGAAGAAAACTAAAAATAATAATAATAATAATAAAATAAACAAGTAGATAGTAAGAAAAATTACTATACAACCAATGGGTAACAAAGAAATCAAAGAGGAAATCAAAAAATACTTTGAGACAAATGAAAATGGAAACACAACTTTCCAAAATTGGAACAAAAGCAGTTCTAAACGGAAAGTTCATAGCAATACAAACCTACCTTAAGAAACAAGAAAAACCCCAAGTAAACAATCTAACCTAAACTCAAAAAAGAAGAACGAAGCCCAAAATTAGCAGAAGGAAGGATATAATAAAGATTAGAGTGGAAATAATTGAAATAGAAATAAATAAAAAATAAAAAAGATCAATGAAACTAAAACCTGATTCTTTGAAAAGCTAAAATTGAAAAACTCTAGCCAGACTTATCAAGAAAAAAAGAAAGGGCTCAAAGGAATAAAAGCAAAAATGAAAGAGAAGTTACAACTAAAACCACAAAAATATATAGGAGACTATCACAGGAGACTACTAAAAAAATTATATGCCAACAAAACAGGAAACCTAGAAGAAACGGATAAATTCCTAGAAACATACAACCTTCCAAGACTGAATCAAAAAGAAATAGAAAATCTGAATATACCAATTACAAGTAACGAAATTGAATCAGTAATTTAAAAACGAAAAGAAAAGAATCAAAAAGAAATAGAAAATCTGAATATACCAATTACAAGTAATGAAATTGAATCAGTAATTTAAAAACCCCCAGAAAACAAAAGTCCAGGACCAGATTGCTTCATATATGAATTCTACCAAACATTTAAAGAAGAGTTAGTAACTATCCCTCTCAAATTATTCCAAAAAATTAAAGAGGAAGAAATGCTTCCAAACTCATTTTACAAGACCAGCAGAATCAAAGATACCACTAAAAAAAAAGACAGGCCAATACCCCCAGTGAACATAGATGCAAAACTTCTCTTCAAAATATTAGCAAATCAAAATCCACAATACATTAATAGGATCATACTCCATGAGCCAGTGAAATTTACCAACATAATATACCACATTAACAAGATTAAAGATAAAAATATCATTAAATAGATGCAAAAAAGCATTTGACATATACAACATCCATTTATGATAAAAACCCTCAACACAGTAGGTATAGAAAGAATATACCAAGTATAATAAAGGCCAGATATGATAAACCCTCAGCTAACATTATACTCAATGGTGAAAAGCTGAAAGTTTTTCCTCTAACAATAGAAACAAGACAAGGATACCCATTCTCACAACTTACTCAACATAGTATTGGAAAAGCCACATCAATTAAGCAAGAAAAAAAAAATCAAAGGCATCCAAATTGAAAAAGTACTAAAATTGTTACTAATTGCAGATGACATAATATCATATATAGAAAACCATAAGGCTCCACCAAAAAACTATTAGAACTAATAAAATAGGGGGGCCTGGGTGGCTCAGTTGGTTGGGCGTCTGCCTTCAGCTCAGGTCTTGATCCCAGGGTCCTGGGACTGAGTCCCGTATCATGCACCTTGCTCAGCGGGGAGCCTGCTTCTCCCTCTCCCTTGGCCTGCCATTCCCCCTGCTTGTGTGTACTCTCTCTCTGTCAAATAAATGAATAAAATCTTTAAAAAAAAAAAAAGAACTAATAAAATAATTCAGTAAAGTCACAGGATACAAAATGAACATATGGGGAAATTTGTTGCATTTCTATACACTAATAACAAGCTATCAGAAAGAGAAATCAAGAAAACAATCCCATTTACAATTGCATCAAAAAGAACAAAACACCTAGAAAAAAAATTTAACCTGTGAAAGACCTGTACTCTGAAGAGTATAAAATGAAAAAAACTGAAGACAGAGAAGACGACCCCCCTCTCTCGGCCCGGCCATCTTGTGGGAAGAGCTGAAGCAGGCGCTCTTGGCTTGGCGCGGCCCGCTGCAATCCATGGAGGAACGCGCCGGCGAGCCACCATCATGCCTGGGCACTTACAGGAAGGCTTCGGCTGCGTGGTCACCAACCGATTCGACCAGTTATTTGACGACGAATCGGACCCCTTTGAGGTGTTGAAGGCAGCAGAGAACAAGAAAAAAGAAGCCGGCAGGGGCGGCCTTGGGGGCTCTGGAGCCAAGAACGCAGCTCAGGCCGCAGCCCAGACCAACTCCACCGCGGCAGGCAAACAGCTGCGTAAAGAGTCCCAGAAAGACCGCAAGAACCCGCTGCCCCCCAGCGTTGACGTGGCTGACAAGAAAGAGGAGACGCAGCCGCCCGTGGCGCTTAAGAAAGAAGGAATAAGACGTGTTGGAAGAAGACCTGATCAACAGCTGCAGGGTGAAGGGAAAATAATTGACAGGAGACCAGAAAGGCGACCACCTCGTTAACGACGATTTGAAAAGCCACTTGAAGAAAAGGGTGAAGGAGGAGAATTTTCAGTTGATAGACCGATTATTGACTGGCCTATCCGAGGCCGTGGTGGTCTTGGAAGAGGTCGAGGAGGCCGTGGACGTGGAATGGGCCGAGGAGATGGATTTGATTCTCGTGGCAAACGTGAATTTGATAGGCATAGTGGAAGTGATAGATCTTCTTTTTCACATTACAGTGGCCTGAAGCATGAGGACAAACGTGGAGGTAGCGGATCTCACAACTGGGGAACTGTCAAAGATGAATTAACAGAGTCCCCAAAATACATTCAGAAACAAATATCTTATAATTGCAGTGACTTGGATCAATCAAATGTGACTGAGGAAACACCTGAAGGTGAAGAACATCCAGTTGCAGACACTGAAAATAAGGAGAACGAAGTTGAAGAAGTAAAGGAAGAGGGTCCAAAAGAAATGACTTTGGATGAGTGGAAAGCTATTCAAAATAAGGACCGGGCAAAAGTAGAATATCCGAAAACCAAATGAAGGTGCTGATGGGCAGTGGAAGAAGGGATTTGTTCTTCATAAGTCAAAGAGTGAAGAGGCTCATGCTGAAGATTCGGTTATGGACCATCATTCCCGGAAGCCAGCAAATGATTTAACGTCTCAGCTGGAGATCAATTTTGGAGACCTTGGCCGCCCAGGACGTGGTGGCAGGGGAGGACGAGGTGGCCGTGGGCGTGGTGGACGTCCAAACCGTGGCAGCAGAACTGACAAGTCAAGTGCTTCTGCTCCTGATGTAGATGACCCTGAGGCATTCCCAGCTCTGGCTTAACTGGATGCCCCAAGACAACCCTGGTTCCTTTGTGGACCCTCCCATCTGAGGTTTTGCATGCTTAAGGATCCCAAACGACTTAAGAATTTAAAAAAAAAAAAAAAAAAAAGACTGTCATTCATACCATTCACACCTAAAGACTGAATTTTATCTGTTTTGAAAATGAACTTCTCTCGCTACACAGAAGTAACAATATGGTAGTCAGTTTTGTATTTAGAAATGTATTGGTAGCAGGGATGTTTTCATAATTTTCAGAGATTATGCATTCTTCATGAATACTTTTGTATTGCTGCTTGCAAATATGCATTTCCAAACTTGAAATATAGGTGTGAACAGTGTGTACCAGTTAAAAAAAAAAAAAAAAAAAAAAACTGAAGACAACACAAATAAATGGAACTATATACTGTGCTCATGGACTAGAAGAATTAGTATTGTTAGAATGTCTATACTACACAAAGCAATCTACAGACTTAATGCAGTCCCTATCGGGGCACCTGGGTGGCTCAGTCAGTTAAGTGTCTACCTTTGGCTCAGGTCATGATCCCAGGGTCCTGGGATCAAGTCCCATACTGGGCTCCCTGCTCCGCAAGGAGTCTGCATCTCCCTCTGCCCCTCCCCCCACTCACTGTCTCAATCTCACTCTCTCGCTCTCACTCTCTCAAATAAATAAAAGCTTTAAAAAAAAGGAATTAATGCAATCCCTATCAAAATACCAATGGCATTTTTAACAGAACTAGAACAAAGAATCCTAAAATGTGTATTGAACCACAAAAGACCCTAAATAGCCAAAGTGATCTTAAAAAAAACAAAGCTGGAGGTTATCATGCCCCCTGACTTCAAAATATGTTAAAAAGCTACACTAATAAAAATAGAATGGTACTGGTACAAAAAAACACACATACTTCAATGGAACAGAATAGAGAGCCCAAAAATAAACCCACACATATACAATCACCATTTGGCATTTGCCTTAATAATAATTGATTTGGGCAAGACTGATCAATAGATGCTGTATTAGTTTCCTATTGCTGCTTTCAGAAATGTCAATTTCATGAAACACCAGTAAAGACTCAGGAACTTCCAAATTAAAGGATTCTAAAGAGGGGCGCCTGGGTGGCAGAATGGGTTAAGCCTCCAACTCTTGAGCCAGATGGCTTCCCCAGGGAATTCTAGCAAACATTTAAAGAAGAATTAATACCTATTCTTCTGAAACTGTTCCAAAACAATAGAAATGGAAGGAAAACTTCCAAACTCATTTTATGAGGCCAGCATTACCTTGATCCGAAAATCAAAGAACCCATCAAAAAGGAGAATTACAGACCAATATCCCTGATGAACATGGATGCAAAAATTCTCACCAAAATACTAGCCAATAGGATCCAACAGTCCATTAAAAGGATTATTC